ACCGCGTGGGTCCTGGGACTGAACTTAGATCACCAGGCTTGCTGACAAGTGACTTCGTCTGTTATGCCATATTGTCAGCCTTCCCTGAAAGATTTTTAAAAGGAGGTTTTCTTGATTTTGTTTATCCCTTTTCTGAATTTCTCTCAGTCATATCTACCATTCTTGCTATATACATATGACTAGGGGATGGTTCAGAGTGTAAAACACTTGCCATCGAGCATGAGGTCTAGAATTTGAATCCGCAGACAAGCCGGGCAGGGCCGACAGCTGTCAGCCGTTCCGGCACCTGGGGAGACACACCAGCATCCTTGAGGCGGGCCGGCAGTTATTAGCTACAATCAGACAGCCCCAGGACCTTGGAGAGATCTTGCCTCAATAAATAAAAGTAGGAAGTTCTCAAGGAGGACACCAAACATCAACTTCAGGTCACTCTTGCACACACATGTAAATGCATGCACACATAAGCACAGACATGTAAACGCATGCACACACACATGCAAAACAACCCCTGTATGACATGAGAGTAGAATGGAAAGTTCTGGGGAGGGAGGGGAGGAGCAGTGGGGGGAAGGGGAGGGAAATGAAAAACGGGTTTTGCAATTTCATCATCTATGTATGCATGTATGCATGCAAATTTTATATAAAACCCATTATTTTGCATTCTAACTAAATCTAAAAATGGAGAGCAAACTTTTTAGGCATGAAAACAGGAAGAATTGTAACCTGCAACCAAGAGGCCAAAGAAGCTAGTGGGAACAAACCTACAACGACTCGGCTTTGGAAGATTTCCTTTAACAAATCAAACTTTCAGTAATGACAAACATGACTTTAACTTTTACTGTACAGATGCATTTTTATTTTATGCGGATGGGTGTACTGCCCGCATTTACGTGTGCACCACGGGCATGTACTGCCTGTGGAGGCCAGAAGAGGGCACCAGATCCTTTGGAACTTCGCTAAGGATGGTGTAAGATGGACTACGCACAGACAAAAATACCTTATGAAAAGATATGGATGCTAACAAATAAGAGTCATATTTAAGTGTACTTCCCTGAAGAAAAACATACCAATTTGCTGGCTCGTGATACTTTATGGAAACGTGAGTACTTACGTAGGAGAAACAAGAATTCTAGAGGGCCCGGGTTTAATTCTTGATCCTTCTGCTTCTACCTCCCAACTGCTCGGGTTACAACCATGTACACAAATCCTGGCGCCAGAAAACAGTTTTCAGTTGAGAAGAGTTGTGGCTGAGGTTAGCGTGACCAATGAAATGAATGGAAACTCTACAGTAATGAGGAGGATGGTAGCGGAGGGGTTGCCTGGCACACAGGAGGTCTTAGGCCCAATTGCCAGCATTCATTTTCTCTCCTTCTGTCTCTCCGTCCCTCCCCCTCTCTCTCTCTCTCTACACACACACACACACACACACACACACACACACACATGCGCGCGCGCGTGCACACACGTATATATCTGCATGCACATATATATGTATATATGTAACATATATATGTATGTATATGTGTCCATCCATGGAAAATAGTAAATTTAAAAGAAAACCAGCAAAGTAAGCTGTGGGAACAGTGTCAAGTAGCTTAATGTACGTACCCTAAGAGACCCGGAGATGCTGAGAAGGCAAAACAGAGAAATTTTCAATGGAAGGGCTGCAAAGCCTAGCTTTAGAACCACGTGTCAGAAGAGTGGGGGGGTGGTCCTGTGGTTAGGCGGGGCAGGGCGGGGCACTCACCACTGTCAGGGGGTCCAGAAAAGAAGGGAATTCTCAGTTCCTTGGTTTAGGAGGAGAAGCTAGGATTCCTGGATAGGAAAAGAAAAGAAAATCTTTACACTCTTGGCCTTGACATGGATCTTTTCCTTACATTTTTTTTTTTTTCTAAAGAATCTGCAGTGACACCTAGGAGGCAGAGACAAAGGGCTTGACTGTTTTAAAACTATTTTTTCTAGGTGGGCTGATTAATTTTCGTCAACTTGACACAACCTAAACATTCTGGAAGGGAGGGAAATTGATTGTGGGATCGCCTCCCTCAGACTGGCCCGTAGGTGAGCCTTTGGGCATTTTTGTGAGTAAAGTTTAATGTGGGAGGGCCCAGAATGCTGTGGGCAGTGCCACCTGGGCAGAGAACGCGCGGCTGGGGAAGCCAGTGAGCAGCCAAGGTTCCTGCCTTGGATTCCCCTAATGATTGCCTGTGATCAGCGTGCGTTCGCCAAATAAGCCCTTTCCTTTTCAAGTTTCTTTTGGTCCTGGTGTTTATCACAGCAATAGAACACAAGCTAGGACACTGTGGGAACTATGCCCCTACCTCTACCTACTACTCATATCTTCGTTCTTTGCCCTCAAATCTACTCCAACCAGGAACGGTTTTCCCCAAGTGCGTGTTCTGTCACCCAGCTGCCCTGGCAGGCTGACTGGTAAGTTTTGAAATTGGTGCAACGTTTATGTGTTTTCAATAATCCTACTCCAGACTCCAGAGCTCAATTTACAGGTTACACATTATCCCTCCTCCCCATAACTTTTCAGGATGGTCTTTGATTCTTCATTACTTTTTTTTAAAAAATCAATTACTGTTATTTCAGAAGAAACATGCTTCCTGGGTCTCTGTCCATTTTATCTAAAATAACCAGGGCACTAAAATTAATTTTATAACATGTAGTTATGCTTACAAAGAATATAATTTAAGAAAATAAATGGTATTAGATATACTATGTAAACACAAAAATACCTTATGAAAAAATATGGATACTAAGAAAATAAGTTATATTTAAGTGTACTTCCCTGAAAAAAATTAATAAATTTGATTGCTTGTGATACTTTATAGAAACGTGTGTATTTATGTAGGAGAAACAAGAATTCTTCCTTTTTTTGTTTTTTCTAGACAGGGTTTCTTTGTGTAGCTTTGAAACCTGTCCTGGAAACTGCTCTTGTAGACCAGGCAGGCCTTGAACTCACAGAGATCTGCCTGCCTCTGCTGGGATTAAAGGTGTGTGCTATGCCCACCCAGTGAGAAACAAGAATTTTTTGTCTCCTCAAACATGACTTTACTTTCCAACTGCACAACTTTAAACTTTAGCATCAAAGAACAGCCTCAAAAAAAAAAAAAAATCTTGTATGGTCATCTGTAGGAAAAGACAGGAAAATAGGGTCACAGAAAAAAAACTTCTGAAAGGAAATTTGCAGCCTAGTGAACATGTTGTTCATCAGCAGCCATGTTCATGACTCGTGTGTGTGTGTGTGTGTGTGTGTGTGTGTGTGTGATCTTTTGCTAGCTGTCTTTCAGACAGGAGGACAGAAGTTAAACTTGACAGTCTGGAGAGGTGGCACAGTGGTTAGGAGCAGTAGCTGCTCTTCCAGAGAATGTTGATTCAATTCCAGCACCCACAACCACCTGTAACGCCGGTTCTATGGGATCCAATTCTCTCTTCTGACTTCTGTGGGCACCAGGCATGTATGTGGTACACAGACAAAACACCAGAGCACATAAAATAATTTCAAAAATGAAAGCTGAACTTTCCAAAGACCTGAAAAAAAAATTAAACCCCCAAAAGATAAAAAATACCAATCAATAAACGGGTTAATGAAATGGTCCATTCTCAAAAGAAGACACATACATACATAACCAACAAATGTTTTTTAAAAGTGTTGAAAAGCACCAGGGAAGTGCAAATTAAAACTACTCTGAGATTCTATCTCACCGCAATCAGAACAGCAATTATCAAGAAAACAACAACGCTGGAGAACAGAGGTCCTTATACAGTTTGGGAAGCAGTGTGAAGACGTCTCAAAAAACCAAAACTAGAACCGCAGAACTCAGCTAGACAGCTTCTGGCACCTGGCCGGCGGTTTCCATATCCTGAATCGATAATGGAAACATTATACATACACGATGGAATTTCAGTTAACTATGAAGAAAAAATGGAAGTCATGAAATTTGCAGGAAAGTAAGAGGATTTGGAAATTGTGTTTAATGAGGTAACCCAGACTCACAAAGTCAAGTATCACGTCCTTTCTTGCATGCAGGTTCTAGCTTTAAATATACAAGTAGGGGGGACTTAGGGGTGTGAGTGTGGGTATAGGTCATGAAACTGCAAGACGAGGAACACAAAAGTGTCTTAGGGAGTAACAGCACCTGTGACATGAAAACAGGTCGGGGAGCGGATGGGGCGCCAGGGCAGAAGGAAGGATCAATAAACAAACTAGGAACGCAAGCGCCACAGTGACACCCATTTTCTTTACATTCTAACGAAAAAGAAGTGAAAACAGAGGGAGAAAAATGGGAGTCTGATAAGCTGGACAGACGGAAGAGGTGAAAAACACGAGGCATTAAGAGAAAATATGTTTCCAGGCCAAACTTTTAAAAACTGGCGGCGCAGGCGAGTGCTCGCTTCTTTGCACTTGTTCATTTCAAGATGCAATGTCAACGCAGTCGGAGGGCCGAAATTACCACCCGGGCTAAAGCTCAAAGAAGGCCGAAGGTCTGCTCACTAACGGAAGCCAAAACTCGATGCAAAAAAAAAAGAAAAAAAAAAAAACAAAAAAACCAAACTCAGATGCACTGTTTAACATGTGGCGAGGTCTGATGTCCCCTCTCTCTCTCATCGCCAGTCTTCCAGCACAGGGAACTTGGAGGAGGGCTGGGCGTGTGGGGGTTACAAGCGCCAGCCTGCAACCTGCGGGTTTATTGCTGGGTCCGGCTGGCTGCGCAGACCTGAGGCGGGCGGCGGAGGGGCGGCCCGCAGCTGCCGCCGGGAGCCCCCACCTGCAGGCCCCCACGGAGCAGCCTCCAGGGCCGTCAGGGGCCGGCGCGGCGGAGCAGCTCCAGGGACTAACCGTCCCGCTCGGCCGGGAACGCCTCGGGCCCCAGGGACCCCGCTGCGGGCGGCCGGCCTCGAAGCGGAGCGGCGGGGCGGCCGGCGCGCATGCGCGCCCCGGCCGCTTCCGCAAAGGCGCGGGCCGGAGGGTGGTTACTAGGAGACGGCGGGACGCGCGGGCCGGTGATCCAGGCGCGGCCGCGTGGGCGCGCGTGCGCCTGCGCGGCGGGCGCGGCTGGGCCAGGACCAGGCCTGTGCGGGTCGGGGCCCCGAAAGGCGGGCCGGCGGCTGCGCGCGTCGCGGCGTGCTCGGGTGCGCGCGCGCGCCGCTCCGTAGTCCCCGCGAGGGGGCGTGGCGAGCCGGGTACGCGTGCGCGCGCGGGGGCTGGGGGCGCGCCGGACGGAAGCGGAGCGGAGGCGCCGGGGAGGTGGAAGGAGAGCCCCCCTCAGGTACAGAGCGTGAGGGCGGGCCGCCGGCCGGCCGGGACCTCACCAACCGCCCCGCCCTCTTCCCCGCTGCCGCCCGCCCGCCCCGCCGCCGCCGCCTCCGCGGCGGGAGGGCGGAGTCGGGGGCGGAGGATGGAGGCCGCGGCCCGCCCGGACCTGCCGCACGGCGGCGGGGCCCCGAGTGGCGGCGATGAGCTCCCGGGAGGACGGCGGCCCCGGAGGCCGCGGGAGGGCGCCGGAGCTCCAGGTAGAAGCCCCGGCCCCGGGAGGCCCACCCCGGAGGCGGCTGCAAGAGGGCGGGCAGACGGGTCGGGCTCTGCCCGAGGCCCCGGCCGCTTCCAGGAGCAGACGCGACTCCGGCTTGTGCGGAGGGGTCCCGGGCCGGCTGGAGCCCAGTTCCTATGGTGACCGCTTGGCTTCCCGCCGCTGCGGGGTTGTTGGGGGACTGTTTTGCTCGGAGACGCTGCGGAGTGAAGCTGGGGCGCTTGGAGACTCGTCCTGTCCCCTCCCGGCCGCCCTCGTCGCCTCCGTCTCTCCTGTAGAGACTGGGAGGCAGGGGAAGGCGCAGGTTGAGGTTTTGCATGAAAACCTCGCCATTTCTTTGAGAGTCTTGTGCGGAGGAAAGGCAGGGTAGGCTGGTTTTGGTCTGAAAAAGTTATTTGAAGCCTCAGATGGGCGGCCGTCGCGCACTTGATGCCTGGAGACGCCCAAGTGTGTGAACATAAACTGTATATGTATCTGTGTGTGCCCTTCAGTCAAGGGTTTAGAATCTAAGAAAAGTTTGCACAAGTGACAGTGTTCTGTGTTGTCGCATCCCTCCCCTGCAGCTCTGCGTGTCCCACAATATTCGTCGTTTTACATTTATTCTACTAGTTTCCAGGATTTCCAGTACGTTTTGTTCACTTTCAGGAAATAAAGTCACAGTCATTTCAAAGTAGCATAAACTGTTTGTTAGTACTAAGGGGAGTTATGGCATTTAACTCTGCTTCAAGAACAAAACAGTTATTTTTTTATTTAGTTTGAACCAAGCTTGTTTTATATGTCAATCCCAATTTCCGCACCCTCCGGTCCTCCCCTGTTCCCCCCACCAACCCCCATCCCATCCCTTTTTGCTTCCCAGGGAGGGTGAAGCCTTCCATGGAGCGGGGGTTAACAGTTATGTTTTAATTGAGTAATGAACTAAATCCTTCGATCTTTATTGAGAAAGAGATAAAAAGATAAGTATTACATCATTCAGTTCCTTTCAAACCCTAAACCTTGATATTATTTAATGGGCAGTTTCAAAAACATGCTTTATTTACTTTTCAAGAAGACTCTCTGTTGTAGCCCACAATATAACCAGGCAAAGAAAGTCTCTGGGGTCTGTTTTCTATCTTCTGCCTGGTTTGTTTGCAAATAATTTCATTTTAAAGTCCTCCACCAGCAGTGGCCATTAGAACAAGTGTTTAGTTATTCCCTCATGGGCCACATGCCCTTCGCTCCCCAGATTGACAATGTTAGCCATTTCCTTGCTTTTCCTAATAGTTTTATCATCTTAAGCAAAATGCTCCTCACAGTCTGCCTCGTTTTGGAACTTTGTAGAAGGGGAATTGTAACAGCTATTCTAAAACTTCTTTACTCAGTGATTGAAAGTTTTATCCTTATTGCTTCTAGTTAGTTTGCCGGTTAGTACTCAACTGTGAAAGTATACCTCAGTTTACTGTTGGTGGACAGCAGGCAATACTCTTTGACAAGGGAAGCAGTTGGAAAGGTAGTTCTTTTTGTTTTAGTTACACTGTTGGTCTTGTATTTCTTAATCCCTTTGGTCCAGAAAGGCCTTTAGAAAACAACTAGCCCCTTTCTTGTGTTTCTAAGAAGTCCTGATAAACAAACACTACCTCTCCTAAGGCCATTGTTTGATGCTGCATTGAGGAGACAAGCTGTTTCTTTACTCTAGAGACTGCATTGTAGAAAGGAGATGAACTAGGAGGTTGTATTAGAATGACTGGAAAGTTTTGTTGTTTTGTTTTTTAACCATAAGGAGAGTTTGAATGTGGCTTTAATATTTTGTTTGAAGTGAATTCTCTAAACATACTTGTTCTTGTCATAAACACAACATTTATAATATTTGTGCATTGTTATCCACATCTTCTGGTAAGCAATTCAAGCCTACCTTGAAGAGTGTGTAAATCTAAACTTTTGGAGAGAATCGTAATAAAAGAAAACAGAGACTTGGCCCTGGTTTGCTTTTGCAGAATCAGGTTTCAGAACTGAATAGAAAAATTCCCGCATTTTCAATTATTGTATCAATATAATAAGTAGACATTTGCCAAATACATAATTTGTACCTCAGTTTGCTTGAGAGTAATGGTGTGTTGTGTGTGTGCGTGTGAAAGTGTTACATGCACACACGTGCAGGCCACACGTTGACATGGAGTTTCCCTCATTCCCCCTCTGCCTAGTTTTGGAGGTAGTGCCTCTCACTGACTTGGAGCTGGTCAGTTCAGCTAGCCTGGCTGACCACCAGGGCCCGGTGGCTCTCTTGTCCCTTGCTTCTCCAGTACTAGGATTACAGGCACACACTCCACACACTCCATGGATGTGCCTGGTCTGTTCTCGTGGACGCTGTGATCTGAATCCTGGTCCACATGCTTGTAAGTACTTTTTTTTTTTTTTTTTTGACTAACTTTTTAAAGTTAGATACACAATGGTCAGTTTCATGATGGCATTTCATACACGTGCATTATTGTATCTTGATGCTATATGCTTCCCTATCCTTCCCAACCTGTTGATGTTATTTTTAACCTTAACTTCCATTTCACTGAAGAATTCAAGTTCCACTAGACAGGAAGTTCCTCAGATCTTTTTACCCCTTGTTTAAAATTTCATTTATCTTTGCTTTTCTTATTCTCGTGTCAGAATATAGTATCTGGATTTCCTCATGTCCTTCCTTCCCCCTTTCCCTCTCCTCTGATCAACATTAATTTATGTTTTCATTGATCCTATGCTGTAGGGCTTCCTCACTTGCAAAGACTTTAGGGAATTACTTTTCTTAAAAAGAATTTGTTAGTTTGGTGTGTGTGTGTGTGTGTGTGTGTGTGTGCGTGTGCGTGTGTGTGCGTGTGTGTGCGTGTGCATGCGTGCATGTGGGTGTATGTCGTCATTAGGCTGAGGCACAAGTGCCTTTACCAGTTAAGTTGTCTCACTGGCTCTGGCTGTAGGCAAATATTGAAGTGGTTTTGTGGATGCAGGGTAGATCAAGGTAGATGTCACTCAACAGAAAAGTTTAAGACAAGAAGTGTTGCCATTTCAGAGGTTGGGGACTTTAAGATATTACATGTACATGATACATCTCAGGGATGGGGGCCAAATCTAAATAGGAAATTCATTTACGTTTCATATGAGCCTTATATACAAAGCTTGAAGGTAATTTTATGTAATACCTTTGGTGTACCAGGTTTTTTACTTTGCCTACTCTAGTGAGGTCAGGGATGGAATTTTCCATTTGTAGCATCGTGTTGTTTCTCAGAAAGTTTTGAATTTTCAGATTAAGGATGCCCAGCCATTATTTGCATTTTCTTGAGACACCCACCCCAGTATTAGTTTGGCTCTGAAAGGGGTCTCTTGGACAGGACTAGGGATGCTGTTCTACTTTTGGCAGTGTACCATCTACAACCTTAGTCTTTCTCTAACTTTTGTTGTCTCTTTGGCTCTTGCAATCATGCTTGCGTTTTATATTTTGATTTTTAATACTTACCCATGTATAAGTCCTCTTCAGATTTGCTTTCACCTTACCAGAGAAATGGCTTTATTTAATCAAGATGCATTATTTTGAAAAATGTTTCATTAACTTGAAATATTTTATAGGTCAATGCAGATGTTTTATAGAGCAACTGTGTGGTGGACATTTTTCAAACATAGCAACCTAGCAACCACCACACCACAGCCTAGACATCTTGGAGTTCAGACTCCAGGGGAAGGAAGTAGACAATGAACAGGTGAACAGGAGAATACAGTCTCAATAAGTGACAGTACAGACAGCCTAAGTAGAGAGTGATCAAGAGAGGATCTAGTCCATGAGGTCAGGGAGGAAAAGGCCTCTGACATCTGAACCAAAGAGCTGGGGCTGAGAAGACATCAGCCAGGGGCACGGCTGAGGCGGGAATGTCCCTGTGCTGAGGCGGGAATGTCCCTGTGCTGAGGCGGGAATGTCCCTGTGCTGAGGCTGAGGCGGGAATGTCTCTGTGCTGAGGCGGGAATGTCCCTGTGCTGAGGCTGAGGCGGGAATGTCTCTGTGCTGAGGCGGGAATGTCCCTGGTGCTGAGGCTGAGGCGGGAATGTCCCTGTGCTGAGGCTGAGGCGGGAATGTCTCTGTGCTGAGGCGGGAATGTCCCTGGTGCTGAGGCTGAGGCGGGAATGTCCCTGTGCTGAGGCGGGAATGTCCCTGTGCTGAGGCGGGAATGTCCCTGTGCTGAGGCGGGAATGTCCCTGTGCTGAGGCGGGAATGTCCCTGTGCTGAGGCGGGAATGTCCCTGTGCTGAGGCTGAGGCGGGAATGTCCCTGTGCTGAGGCTGAGGCGGGAATGTCCCTGTGCTGAGGCTGAGGCGGGAATGTCCCTGTGCTGAGGCGGGAATGTCCCTGTGCTGAGGCGGGAATGTCCCTTGCTGAGGCTGAGGCGGGAATGTCTCTGTGCTGAGGCTGAGGCGGGAATGTCTCTGTGCTGAGGCTGAGGCGGGAATGTCCCTGTGCTGAGGCTGAGGCGGGAATGTCTCTGTGCTGAGGCTGAGGCGGGAATGTCCCTGTGCTGAGGCGGGAATGTCCCTGTGCTGAGGCTGAGGCGGGAATGTCCCTTGCTGAGGCTGAGGCGGGAATGTCCCTGGTGGGAAAAATGGGAAGAGAGCATGAAGTCACATGGGAATGGAACACGGTTTAGTTTATTCGTGGCTGTAACAAACACTGCATGCTGGGTAGACGGTAAACAACAAGTATGTAATCCTAACAGTTTGAGGCTGGGAGTGCTAAGATCATGGCAGCAAAAGACTGTCTGTGCGGTGGCCCGTTTCCTGGTTCATAGGTACCTTACTCCCCCCCCCCCGGGGCGTGTGCACCCCTGCCCCGTTCTCCAGTGCTGCCATCAAGTGCGTACATGGAGAAGACCTGGAAACAATGTGCAGCACGGCTCAGAGCAAGGGAGGTGTTGGTGAGGAATTTCAGAGGTTTGCCTCAGACATCGTGAAGCCGCTTTGGCGGTGCATCTCCATTAAAAGCGGCACAGTGCTTGCTGCACGGGTACAGGTGTGTTCATAGGGTTTGGGGAATGGAAAGCAGATTCTAAGCCTTTTGGGGCACGTAGGCATAGCCGTCCCTTTTTGCCTGTGTTCTTATAGCATAGCTGTGTTTGCAGTGATAGGGCGCTAATTACGCTGTGCTATGCTCTGGACGCCGTAGATTAATCGGAAGTTGAACTTGTTTTTGTTCTCCATTTGTTGTACATAATTATTGTTTTTTTAGTGTGGCTATTTAAAAATTTGGTGATACTGTGAACTAAAGCTGGTATGTGTGTATGAATGAAAATAAAGAAATCTAGTGTAAAGGTCAGTAGAACTTGATGGCTGATTAGATAATTTGAATCAGTGAGAGGAATTTATAGTGATAGTAATAATGGTTAGTGCTTACTATCTATCTGTGTATGTGTATATTATATTATAGCATAAAAAAACATCTTTTTTTTTTTTTTATGTTTTGTTTTGAGACAGGGTTTCTCTATTGCTTTGGAGCCTGTCCTGGAACTCACTCTGTAGACCAGGCTGGCCTCGAACTCACAGAGATCTGCCTGTCTCTGCCTCCCAAGTGCTGGGATTAAAGGTGTGCCCCACCAATGCCCGGCTTAAAAAACATCTTGAGAATATGGAGTTCAGCCTTAAAATGTAGCAAAGAGAGTGTTTCTAGATGTGTGTATGAAGAATGTATAAAATAGTTCTTGGAAGTGTTTATCAGGTGATAAAGCTGTCAAAGTGGAAGGGAACAAATTTCGAAGAACTTTGCATGTTGGGCAAGAGTAGATGTTGGCAATTCAAAGTGTGGTGGAAAGCCGATTGAGGACTTCAGGGAAGCTTTTTGAAATTGTAGGACCTCAGGTTTACTGTGAATGAGATTCTGCATATAAACAAGACTCCCTTGTGATTCCTGTGTTCACTAAAAACTTAGAAATTAATTGCCAAAGTGAGAAGTTATGTATTCTGCTTTCCTGAGTCAAATATTTGTAACTAGGAGCACACTTCTCAACAAAGACTGTGAGAAGTGGTAGGGTTTTCATGGAGCTCATAAAGTTCTAAATGATTTATATATAACTTTAGGTAGTCTCTAAGGGTTATGCTGACATTCCAGGTGGGCAGTAGCTAGAAATGAATAGAAATGCATTTTCTGTCTTATTTAGGGGAGGAAAAGGAATAGATCTGACAACCTGCTTCCAGGCCAGGCTGCACAGGATGTACTCCAGCTAGTCAGTGGGAATATCTTGGTTTTATAATTTCCTCAGAGTGATGTTGGAGAATAGCAGCTGTGTTGAAGGAAAGGCCTAGGATGCTCTTAGAGAATTCTCACTTTTAACACTATGATTGGCTTGATTCAGGAAGAGTATATTACTTTTCTAATGACATAATTTCCTAGATATATTGCTGAGTAAAAAGTCTGGAGTAGTAGGGCTACTATGCTAACCTGGAAAACTTAGAACATTTGTTCTAAGTTAGATGTGCATTAGATGTACACTAATTAATATACATTTGCACATTAGCTGTACAAGTGCATTTGTATGATAAATTCCTATAAATGAAATTATTTGAATGGAAGCTATATGTGTACTTTTAGTGTTAATAGATTTTTCATAATTGCTTTCCATACACTATCATACTCCCACAAATGATGTACAGGTGTGATAAGTTAGATATCTAACGTTTGAAATGATGTACAGGTGTGATAAGTTAGATATCTAACGTTTGAAATGATGTACAGGTGTGATAAGTTAGACATCTAGGGTTTGGGTCTGGGGAGACGGCTCATTAGATAAGAGTGCGTGCTGCATAACCATGAGGACCAGGGTTTGAACCCCTCGCACTCATACCCTGAACCAGGCATGCATGCACATGCCTGGAGCCCTAGTACAGGAGCATGGACACAAGTGGGTCTACTTGTCCTCTGACTAGACAGTCCAGCTGAGCTGGTTAGCTCCCAGCTCAGCGAGAGACCTGTCTCAGAGGGGTAAGGCGGAGAGCGGTCCCAATGTCCAGCTCTCGTCTCCACATTTGCACGCTCACGTGCATATAACGTTCGCGCACATACACACACAGTCCTCCATCCAACTTCCTGGCTTTTGTCAAGGTGGTGGTTAAAAGGGGTCCTCAGTTACTTTAATTCATATCACATCTCATTAAAGCAATGGTTCTCAGCCTTCCTAATGTTGCGACCCTTTAATACAGTTCCTCATGTTGTGGTGACTCCAACCATAACATTATTTTGTTGTTGCTTCATAACCATAATTTTTTTTACTGTTATGAATCATAATATAAATACATGATATGCAGGAAGTCTGATATGTCCCTTAAAGGGACCACAACCCACAGAATTAGAGCCACTGTTCTAAAAGGGATTGCTGAATGTTTCTGTAAATAATCATATTCTTTTTCCAAGCTTTCTGTTAGACTATTTCTTTTGCCCTTTTACATATAGAAATTGTAAATGTTTTAGAGAAACATTTATGGATGGCTGGCAAACTTTGTGTTACTATATAATGGCAATAGCTATCATGTGACTAATGACTACCATATTTGACAGGTAGACTCTTGTTTGCTACTGACTCTTGTTTCTGTAGGAAAGTGATAGGATAGGGCACATATCTTTAAAAAGGACACTCAGTATCATAGTTTTATTTGGAAAACATACCTTTTTTTCTGTTATTTTCTTTTTTAATTTTTGGGATTGTATTTTAATTATAATATTTCTCCCTTCCTTTTCCTCCTTCCTAAGTCTCCCATACTTTCTGCCCAGCTCTGCTTCAAATTCATGGTCTCTTTTTTCACCAATTGCTATTACGTGTGTGTGTGTATGTGTGTGTGTGTGTGTGTGTATGCATATATGTGCACATATACATATGTTCACATTCCTAACTATAACCTGTTGAGCCCATACAGTGTTGCTTGCATATCGGTCCTTAGGGCTGACAGTCGGGCACTTGCCGTCAAATTGTTGGCTCTTCTCTAGGGAGGACCACCTCGCTTGCTCCCAGTTTTATCAGTTGCCCATAGCTCTGTAGTGTTGAGGCCGCATGGTCTTTTCCCTGTCCACTTTGGCGTGTTTGTTGGTGTCATCCTTGTTCAGCTCACACTTGGGTGGTCATGTTGGTGAGACTTTATTATGGGTGTGACTTCTGGTGTTACTGGGAGACACACTCTCACAGCAAACTCCCTGATCCTCTGGCTCTTAGAATCTCCCTGCCCCTTGTCTACAGTGTGTGGGAGTGTTTTGGAGGTGAATCCATTGGGACTGGGCTACACAACTCTGCATATTGATTGGTTGTGGTTTTCTGTAGTGGTGTCCATCTGCTGTAAAGAGAAGTTTCCTTCCTGAGGGGTAAGGACTACACATCTGTAGCTATGAGGACAAGGGTTTGCAGACTGTTGTTAGGGATTATATGGGTTTAGTAAATCAGTAGAATTAGTAGGTTCTCCAATAATCATTATTTCACTAGCAGGGATTAGTTATCTAGATTTCTAGTACCAGATGTGGCATCTCTCTTGTTGAATGAGTCTTTTTTGTTTTGTTTTTAAAGGTGTGTGTGTTCAGGCATGAATAACGTGTGTTGGGGTACACACAGAAGCTAGAAAGAGGTATCATGTTCCTTGTAGCTGGAGACAGTTTGTGAGTTTCTCCCCTTAATGTGAGTGCCGGGACCTGAGATGCAGTCCGCGGCGCATTAAGCACTCTTAACCATCTCGATAGCTACAAATTCTGGAGAGATGGCTCAGCTGTTAAAGGCTAGGTTCACAACCAAAAAATATAAATTCTTAAGAAATCGTAGCTTAGTAAACTTGCTTTACTGATGGGAAAGTTAAAAACAGTAGATAATATGAACGAAATAGAGTGCTAATAAATTCCAAAACTTACTGATAAGGAAAGTCACAACTGTGTTTTCAGTGGATGCCTCTCCATTATTTTTCATTCTTTCTACCAGGTCACCACCAAAGAACATCAGTTTGCTCTCGGGGCTCCAGTTTCTGAAGCTGGAAAAAACCAGATTACTCTCCAACTAGAACAAGAAGTGAGAACCCAAGACAGATTCATCTCTACACTGAAATTACAGGTTAGTCGTAGTTTATATATTAATAAATACTTCTCTTAATAAATTTGGGATGTGGATGTATTTTAAAATAATAAAATGGAGGGCAAATAATTATAAATTCAGAACTTGTTTAAATCTAGGAACTCTAAAATTTAATTTTATAACCACTTTGACAAAATAGATTTAGTTAGTGAGAAAACTTGTGTTTGTTTTAAGGAAGGATCTTGCTGTGGAGACCAGGTTGGCTTCCAACTCAGCAATCCTTTTGTTGGTAGAGTACCTGCCTAGCATGCCCAAAGCCCTGGGTTTGATCCCGGGCACCACACAGGCAGGGCATAGCAGAGCATGTCTGTAATCCTAGCACTCAGGAGGTGCAGGCAGGAGGGCCAAACAATCAGGGGACTCAGGCTTGCAGCGAGTGTGAAGCCCGCTAAGGCTAAATGTGACTCTGTCTGGGGGTAGGAAAGCAGGGACTTTGGGGAAGATAAAGTAGACCTACCATTTCCTTTGCTGTTTCCTCTTGTTAAATACACTTCCAAACTGTGAACTTTATATATAACACAGTATAACACTGTTTCCTTTTATTACACATAGATTACAGATTCTTTTTTCATACAGTGTATGTGAATGCAGCTTCTCCTCCCTCCACCCATTCTAGTCCCTCCCCACCTGCTCTCCATCCAGATCCACTCCACGGACTTCTAAGAGCTAACAGCAAAACTTAATAAAATATAAAACAAAAACCATCTTTATCTTGTTGGACAAGACAAACCAACAGAAAAATAAACGAGCCCTAGAGCAGGCACAAGAATCCACTCGTCCGCACATTCGGGAGTCCTGTAAAAGCACTAAACTAAAAGCTACAGCGCATGTGCAGGGGACCGGAGCAGACTCTTGCAGGCCCTGTGCTTGCTGCTTCAGTCTCTGTGAGTTAGCTCGGTTGTTTCTAGAGGGCCTGTTCTTGTGGTATCTCCTCGGGTTCCCTGAGTTCTCAGGGGAGGGATTTGATGCAGACATTTTGTTTAGAGTTGTGTGAAAGACTGCTCTGTGTAATGCCTGGCCGTGAGTCTCTGTTTGTTCCCATCTGCTGCAGGAGGAAGCCTCTCTGATTATGGCTAAGCAAGGCACCAGTCTATAAGTGTAGCAGGGTGTCATTAGGAGCCATTGTATTGTTACTTTCCACTGCACTAGGTTTCCACACTCCCGCAGTGCCCTAACATCCTCCTAGCTGTCTCTCCCCTCATTCCCTCCCTGAGTCTCATCTCTCCTTCCCCTCCGCGTCTGATCTCCCTGTCCTTGTGCCCTTCCCCCATTTCTCCTCCCCAGGGAGACCCATGTGTCCCTGTAATCTCTTCCTCTATGCCTCTCCTCTCTGGGTCTATTGCTTTTAGCTTAGTAATTATTTGTTTAATGGCTAATATCTAGATATAAGCAAATATGTAAAACATGGACAAGAACCTCAACATGAAAAGAGCAGCATGTTACAGTTCTTAGGTTTTCTTTTCCTCAATATATTCCAGAAAGGACTTGTGGCCTAGCACGTTGAAGTGACAGTAAGAACATACAAAAAAAAAAAGATCCCGGAAAAGCACAAGGCAGATGACTTTAAGATAATAACTGTCGGCTCAGAAATAAGCAGACTATAGGGAAACTACAGCGCTTCCCAGCCAGCATAGACCAAATAAAGTCTAGACTGTGATTCTTGCCAGGCTGTGACAAGGAGCCTCGGCTACGTCTCTTCTTGACCTCATTTCCTTAGCTCTGCCCCTAACAAGAGTGGTATCACAGAAACCCAGTAAGGAACCAAGACCTGTTTGGAGGGTGGGGTTTGAGACAGGGTTTCTTTGTGTAACAGCTTTAGCTGTTTTAGATCTAGTTCTGTAGACCAGGCTGGCCTCAAACTCACAGAGATCCGCTTGCCTCTGCCTGCCGAGTGCTGGGATTAAAGGCGTGGGCCCCATCACCTGGCTGGGAACCAAGACTGCTATACAGTCTTCTGATGTCAGTAGAGACCACAGTGGGTGCCCAGACATTGCTCTTACCCGACAGTAAGATGCACCCTTATTGCTATGGAGGTGTCAGAGGGGACAGGACAGTCAGGACTTTACCTCTAACAAGGCCTCTCTCTCTGGGTCATTTGTGTTTTATTTTTATTTATTTTTTTTGGTTTTGTGTATTTGTGTGTGTGTGTGTGTGTTTGTTTTTCAAATGTTCTTGGTAGTGGGAATCAAACCAGGGCCTTGCATATGTTAGACAAGCACTCTATTCATTGAGCTATAGCCCCAGACCTTGGAAGAGGAGATTTCAAGACCGAATAATACACAGGCTATGGCATGACTGTTACTTTCTGCATTCAGACAGCCCTGTTTGTTTGTTTGTTTGTTTCAAGACAATTTCTCTGTTCTCTGGATAACCACCCTGGCTATCCTGAAATTAGCCTCAACTCAGAGATTTGCCTTCCTTGCTCGGTGTGCACCACCACCACCAGGCTGCATTCAGGCAGCTTTATAGGGAGGAACAGGAAACAGAACAAAAAGATGTTTGGGAGCATGCAGTGTGTTTAAAACTGCAGCCAGAAGCAAGTGTGAACAGTGGCCATAGTTGTTAAGGGGATTAGCGTGATAGAAGAGAAGCATTTACTTTCACTGGGACAGTAGGAAAGGTGTCCAGAGGGTGGGACCCAACTCATGAAAGGCTTCTGGATGTAGAACTGGAAAGGTATTTGAAAGAATTTTCGTTAACTGAGAGTCTCAGAGCTGTCCTTTTAAGGAAGGCCACCTAGGGGAGGGCTTTGAGTGCACAGGCTACATCCATTGGTCCTCAGTTCTTGAGCTTGTGGCAGAACGTGACATCATCTACATAATCCTAATTTTGCATGCCGATGAAAGTGTTCTAGTTATCTTGGAGGCTTGCACCAGTATTTTTGACAAAAGCCTGGGAAGGCAGACAATGTGTAGCAGGATCAGATTCCCTGCAGGGAGTCCTTCAGTGGACTTTGCTGGAGGCTGGAGGGTGAAACCCAAGTTGTGGTAGAGAACTCAGGATGTTGGAAATGTGAAGAACACGCAGCACCAAGTAGATTGTATCCGAGGAGAGTCTTGTGCACTGCAGGCATCGGGGCCTAGGAGCGAGCTACCTAAGTCCACGGGAGCCAACAGTGTGTTACACATACACCATCCAGGCTTGGAGGACACTAACCTGCCTCTTCTAAAGTACTTATACCATGAATCGAGTAAAAGCAGGGTTAAAATCAGGGGCAAGCAGGTTATTCGTGTATTATTACTTACCCATTTAACAATAAATTGAGATAATGTCAGGATAATAATTAATTCATGCAAAAAGGAGTTCTTTATGTTGTTTAGAAGTCAATGGAAGGGACTGGTAAATAAATGATTTTCATATATTTTTATAAAATACTAAGATAGGGCTGAGAAGTTAACTCAGTCAATGAGGTGCTTAAACAAAGAGCTGAGTTTAAACTATAACCTGTGTAAGAAAGCCAGGAATAGTAGGATTTGCTTATAATTCCATCTCTGGGGAGGTGGGCACAAGCATATTCTGGGGTTTTCTGGCCATTGAGAGTCACTATCTTTAAAAAGCTAAAGTGGCCGGGCTGTGGTGGCACATGACTTTAATCCCAGCACCCAGGAGGTATAGGCAAGTGAGTCTCTGAGTTCGAGGCCAGCCTGGTCTACAGGGTGAGTCCCAGGACAGCCAGGACTACAAAGAGAAACCCTGAACTGAACTCACAGATGACCTCCTGCCTCTGCCTCCTGAGTGCTGGGATTAAAGGCGTGCGCCACCACCACACTGTAAGTACAGAGGCCTAAGTCAGGCCTGGGCCGGCTCCCCCTATGAGCCCAGGTTAGTTGATTCTGTGGATTTTCTTGTGTCTTTTCTCTCCTCTTCTGTAGGGTTCCCCGAGATCTAATGTTTGGCTGTTTTCATCGGTTGCTGGATGAAGCCTCCCTGATGACAGTTGGGCTGGGCATTAGTTTCTCTGGGTCTGTGGGTTGTAGCATGGTTCTCCTTTACAGATAACATTCACTTATGAACTAAGGGACTCTCTTAATGTGATTATTTCTTTTCTGATTATAACAGATTGAAGATCTCAAACAGACAAATCATGACTTGGAAGAATATGTTAGGAAACTCTTGGATAGTAAGGAGGTGGTAAGCAGTCAAGTAAATGATTTAACCAACCACAATGAGCATCTTTGTAAAGAATTGATTAAAATTGACCAACTAGCAGAGCTATTAGAAACAGAGAAAAATTTTGTGGTGGACACTGCCGACAAGGAACTTGAAGAAGCAAAGGTACTAAATTCACCACTGACAGTATTTTTAATTGTACTTTTAAGCATGTGATTATAAAATTAAGTTGGAAAAGTGAATTTTTCATATCATTTGCAAGCTTTTAAGTCCATCATAAGGATTAAATTATATTTTTTTCTCACACTTTATTTCTTTATAATTTTTTTTTGTTTTTATTTTCCCCTAAGTTTTATGAGCCTACTTTGAAAACTCCAAAGTAACAAGAATGGTCTGTAGACAGAGAATTGCTCTGCTTTTCCTTTTCTTCTCTGCATATATCCACAAACAAATAAATCCCCTACCTCTTTTTTAGAAAGGGTCTTGTCTTCTAGCCCAGGCTTATCTTGACCTTGGGTCTTCTTGCCCAGTCTGTGATCCTGTTCTGAGTACAGGATCACAGACACCGTGCCTGACTGACTCTTTATGTGTACAAACAGTGGCTTAACTTTGAACAAAAATGAGAAACTTGTTATGTTGTTAAATTTGTTGATCTTGGTTGACTTTTTGTTCTTGTTTAGGAAGATGTTGTCACATCAAGAGCTATAGACATATCTTCTAAAGTTTACCTCTAGATTTTCAACACGTACAGTTTATTACTTTTGTTTGAGGACACTTATCTGTAAGTGCTTTCCTGAAGAAGGTCCTTAGAACTACCAGTGAAAGTAGATAGAGTGGTTCCTTTTTAGCTTGAATAATTTGCCTTCACATGGTCGCTACACAAGTATTTAAAAGACACTTCAAAGTAGCTTGTATGTTTTCAGTATTTCTCAATAAACTTGTCAGTTTGCTTTAACCTTTCATGTATGGTTTAGTGGTTAATTGAGTATAGTTTTACTCTTGACTGAAAATTGTCCAATTTAAGGAAGGGTTTAACTGTCCTTCCTTCTTCATATTAAAAATTAACTGTCTCCTCCCCAGACAGAAGGCAGCTGAGTTCCAACTCTGAGTGTGCGCTTTATAGACGGCATCTGTTTTAGAGTTTTAGGGCCTACTGGCCAGATTGGAGCAGGGGTTAGGTAGGTGTAAGAGTGAATTCTCTGGTATTAAGAGGAAGAACTCTAGGAATGTACAGCATCAGAATTATGAGAGGTAGGTTACATAAAAACAAAAACACTAAATTCAAAGGTTAAATAAAATTTTGCTTGGCCCAGAAAAGCATATTTCTAGAAAAATGACATTCTTATATGGTGTGGCATGTGCTCCATTGGAGAATTGGAAAGTATTTGAGCTGCATCTTTGGGATAGCATTGTTGGAGAGAAAAACTGGGCCCTTTAGTACATCAAGGCAAAAAGAGGAATGGTTGCTTAGGGTGTGTGCCGTGAAGTGAGCAGCGGCCTGACTTATGCTGCAGGGCAGAGAGGTGCAAGTTCGATTTGGGGGTGAGGACACCAGTATGTGTTGCCCAAATCCTTTGCATTGGGTGTGCATTGTTGGTTTGTAATCACCAAAGGTATGTTTCTTGTCTGTGTTTTGGGATAGAACTTGAGATAGTTTGTAATTTGATTGCTGAAAAAGAATGCTCGTGCTCTTACAGTGTTTTGAAATAAGTAGAAGTGGAGTCTGAAGCTAATGATAGAATTAATTTTGTTTACTGAGACGAATTTACTTTTGGTCAGTAGTATTTTTAAATATTCATACAGCAACCTCTTCTAAACTGTTTTTGAGTATCTACTGTTGCGTTTTTATTGATGTGTAACAATTTACTTCTGAAGCTGAGTGATTTCAAACAACAAACTCTGACTTATATGTCATGTTAGGGAATGGTCCTGGTTCAGTTTCTCAGGAAAGTGTAATACACCATACCCTGACTGATACTAGGACCCTTGCTTTTAAGATGGAGATTGGCTATCAGCAAGTGTTCTGTACAGTGCTAAGTTGGCCACATTCTAGATGTCAGTTGCCTTCTAGTCTCTGAGCCAGTGATCCAAGAGTGACAACCATCTAGAATCTTGCAGTGCATATTGTGAGTCTATCTAAATTATATTCCAGCGTTTCCACTATCTCTACTTTTAAAAATGACTCCCTAATACAGGCAGAGTGGCCCGTGACTGTCATCTCAGCCCTGGAGAGGCTAAGGCAAGACGATTGTGAGTTCATGGCGGGGTAGGACTGTGTAGTGAGAGAGTCACTCTGTCTGCACCTGTTGCACTGACCATGCCCATTGGAGGTGGGACAGGTGCAGATGTTACCTGGGGGGAACTAGGTCTGGGGAGGGGACCCAGGAGCTCGATATCCTTCCTGGACTGAGATGGAGGGCATCCGGATGCATCCTTGGGACTGGAACCTGCCTGCGTTCATCTGTCTCTATTGTAAGCTATTTCTCCCTGAATAAACATCTATTCAGCCTGTTTTCCCAGATCCTTATTTTTCCATGTTAGGACTACATAGAAAGAATGTTTTAAGAAAGAAAGAAAAAAAAAAGTGATTACTATATAGATCCCTCACTCAAGAGGAGGTCTGCGTCTTCAAAAGCAGGCAGTACTAGAGTTAGAGCACATACTAAATTTGCAGCTCTTTGCCTTTGTCTGCCTTCACATCTTGAGTTACCATTTATGCTTTAATATAGCATTTTGTAGGCAGTTGGACATGATTTTCTGTAATGTGAAGAGCAGAACTGCTCTTGTTACTATTGTTAGTTTCTTATACCATATATGTTAGTTTATATGTTTATGTATATCTTTTTGAAACACAACTTATCGGTAGTATTGTTAAGGCAAAGTAACCTAAACTAAAATTCACTAGCTTTTATACTCAGTGACATTTGCAATTAAACTGAATACAACTAAATTATGACTTAATTAAGACATTTTCTAAGACGGCACCAGCATGTTTAAAATTTAATAATCCTATGTGAGATATTGGCATTATTAACATGAGAGCTCCTTTCTGCAGCAGTACACTTTTTATCTTATTTTACAGTTACTTATTTTATGAGTGTTTTGCCTGCACATATGTGTGTGCCACATGTGTACCCTTTGATTATTGTTGCTTTTGTTAATGATTCAATCAGCCAAAATAATCGAATCTAATATATAGAAAACACTATGTAAGACTTAATATTAAGTTTGTAAAATCCTTTTTACATGTACACATTTAGATGTACGCATACCCTATCTATCCTGCTCTTTTGAAAGTCTATTTTAAAATTATTTAGTTTTATGTGTATGGATGTCTGTGTGTGTGTCATGTGTCCCTTATGTATGCGGAGGCTGGAAGTGGGCAGTGGATCCCCTGGGGCTGGAGCCACAGATGACTAGGAACCATCATGTGGGTGCCCTCTCCATCCTATCCTTCCTCTTCCTCTCTGCTCAGCGACACAAGGACCTTACTGCTCCTTGGAACTGGCTAGGCATTCTTTTGCGTTTGGGCATTTGCTGTAACAGTACTTCCCCCCTGGAATATTCACCCGGATTTCCTGGGCCCTCTTTAAACCTTGCTCAAAGGAGGCCTTCCCCTGGAGACTTCCTGATAACTGTTTCTAATTTCTGTCTTGTTTTCATAAACGCAGTATCCTTAGCTCTGCTTTTCTTGGCCAGTATAGTATGCAACTTGTTATTTAACTGACTTATTTTAGCTTTAAAAAGAAAAAAGCATCTGTCTTAGCCACTGTTCTTTTGCTGTGAAAAGACGCCATGAGCAAGGCAAGTCTTAAGCAAAGCGTCTGATTGGGGGCTTGCTTGCAGTTTCAGAGGCTTATTTAGTCTAGTTCATTGTCATCCTGGCCGGAGCGTGGTGCAGGCACGGTGCTGGAAAAGTAGTTGAGAGCTACAATTTGATGTGCAGGAGGAGGGGAGACTGATTAGGTCTTCTGTGAGCTTTGGAAACCTCAACGCTCACCCCAGTGACACACTTCCTCCAACAAGTATTTCAAACAGCTCTACGCCCTCGGGACTAAGCGTTCAAATACGTGAGCCCATGGGAGCCGTTTTTACTCAAACCACCACGGTCATCTCTCCCAGCTGGAATGTTGTGTCCCTAAAGACAGAGATCTTTACCTGCTTTGTTCACTTCAAGAAAAAAAAAAAAAAAAAAAAAAAAACCTCACGTGCCTTAGAATTCGGGTGGTTATTGTGTAGCTTTTGAGTGCCATAGACAGTATTTGATATATATTTTGACTATTCTCTTTCTCTTTTTGACTAGATTATAAACTCTCCAGGGCAGAAATTTGTGTTTTGTTGTATTTATTGTGTTTCCCAGTATGAATAATTACCACATTGTCAGACACACTGTTCCTTCGGGACAGTTACAATGATTTTTCAGGGTAAGATTATCACTTGTGTCAGCATAAAGGTTATATATGTTTATTGTACAAATTTCAAGTTTCTGGGTGTAGCTCAGTGGTAAAGAGCTGGCCTAGAAAGGTTCAACCTTCAACACCGCCTGCCCACACGATTGTAAACAAGATTTCAGTTCACCTAGAAAACTACAGTTAAGGAAATAATATCCACTACTATTACACTTGTCTCTAGACTCTTCAGTTTACATGCTACTGGTTATTGTTTCATCTGTATGTAAGATATGTGTGTACATCAGCTTTTGAGGAAGTGTCACACTGGATAGTCTGTTTTACTGAGTCTTCACTCTTAACACAGAACAAAAATCTTTACACATTTTTATACTGTGCTTATGTTTTTTTAGTAAGTGCATAGTAGCTGTATTAGTCAGGGTTCTCTAGAGGACCAGACTTGATAGAATGAGTCTAAATATAAAAAGCCCATTTTATGAGTGGTTTATAGGCTGTGGTTCAGTAGTTCATCAATAGCTGTCTGCTAGCACAGAGTCCCAGGATCCAGTAGCTGCTCAGTCCGTGGTGATGCCTCCACTGGCCTTCAGTATATATATGCCAGAGTCCTGAAGTGGGAATGAACTCCCCCGTGAGAACAAGGGCAGGCAGGCAGGCAGGCAGAGGGCAAACACTTGCTTTTCCCTTATGTATAGGTTGCCACCTGAAGGTATGGACCACATTAAAAGTCTGTCTCCCCATCTCAAAAGATCAGCATGTAGAGCGGGTCTTCCTACTTCAAAAGGTTTAATTAAGAAAACTCCCTCCCAGGTGTATCCATCTGCTTAGGGTTACTTAATCCCAGATGTAGTCAGGTTAACACCCAGTAGCATAAAATGGAACAATGAAAATTAATAATTCAGACTTGTTCATAAGATTATACAACCAAAAAAGCAAAAAAAAAAAAAAAAAAAAAAAAAAAAAGATTATACAACCATAGGTTATTTTCCAAACATTAGGACCCCTTAATATTTTATAAACTTCAGTATGACTTCTACAGGAATCTTAGAAGGATAATTAATGGGACTGGGCTTATACTGAATTTTACTCCTAACTAGTGTTTTTGAGACCCTGGGCTTGGTTCCCAGCAAAGATAATTGTTCCAGAGAACTCAAATTTAAAATATAGCATGTGTATCTTAGTTCAGGATAATGAGAAGATGCTAATGAATTATAAATGTAATTTATTTTTGCTGACTTTTAGCAAAGAGCTTATCATAAAAACAGTCACTTGTTTTGAAATATATGTCATAGATGACAGCTGTACTGTAAAACTGAGTATAAGTTCAGTGTCATAAAATTGATGCAAAAGTGTGTTGTGGATTGGGTGAAATGAAGGCATTAGTTTGAGAACTCTACTCCATTCTTTATATTACTTTTCTTTTATAATCTTGGAAATTATAGTCAGTGTCAACATTTTAATCCAGTTAATGGAGAATAATGTGCTACAATACAGTAAGTTAATATTTTATGAAAAATGTTGAGTAAAGGGACCACTTTTTTCACCTGGGTTCTTTTACCACTGAAGGTAGGTAAGCATAAGGGACAGGTTACCTTCTGCTTAAAATAATATCTGTGTACTTTTATTTTTAAATGGCTTCCTTTTTAATACTCTTTCCAGTGAAATCAGTTTAAGCATCTTCAGTATAAATAATAGAATTTCTAATTTTTCAGATTGAACTCATTTGCCAGCAAAATAATATAACAGTATTGGAAGATACAATTAAAAGGCTTAAATCTGTAAGTACATTTTTCATAAATACATGGTAAGCAGTCAGCTTTACTTTGTAAGCTACTAAGAGCATTTTATACACTCTTTGACTCCTGCGTTTGTGAACGTTTCTCTAAAGTCAGTGCCTGCTAAAGGCCCATCTGAAGAGTGTGCCTCCCTGCCTCCCTCCTGCTCATCACTGCATTGTTCTCCTAGAGCCCTGGCTCTCACCCTTGCTAATGCCGTGGCCCCTTAATACATGTTAGGGTAGCCCCAACAATAAAATTATAGTGTCGCCACTTCATAACCGCCATTCTGCTGCTGTTAGGGATTGTAGTGTAAATATCTGTGTTTTCTGATGGTCTTAGGCCACCCCTGCGAAAGAATTGTTAAACCCCAAAGACACCACAACCCATAGGTTGAGAACTGCTGTCCTGGAGGTTGAAAATAACTTTTGGTTGGTTTTAGCAAAATGTTTTTAGCTGTTACTCCATTCAGTATGGTGGCTCCCAAATTTTTAATTTTCAGTATATAAGGTACATTTTTCTATATTTTAAATTTTATGTCTTTCATAATATTTTGTTATAAATTGTTGCCTAGCACCAGTTGATATTTTATTTCTCTAACAATATGAAATGAAAATTCATTGATTTAAACATTTTAGTCTGTCATTTAAAATACTTAAAACACTATCTGAAACATGTCAACTTTTTCTCAGTATTCGTAAAACAAATATTAAAAAAACATTTTAGAAAAGAAGCATTTCTAAATATAACCACGTGAATGGGAGTTCATGGGAGACACCTGAGTGTAGCGACTGTCCAGGATTCATTAGCATAGCCATTCATTGAATGAGTATTGTTATAAAAGTAGCATGTAAAGATTTCCAAAGTCCGTCGTACTGTTTCTAAGATTTGCTTCAGGTCTGGATGTTTCTGAAATCTCATATATATGTTTTCTTCTCAAAGTGTTTAAGTAAATGTAGTATTTTATTCAAATAAAGCGTACAAGAATGATGAAAATTGCTTTAAAATGGTGTTTTGCTTTTTTAAAAATAATTAATTTAATATTTTAAAGACTCCTTTGTGTTTTTTATTTAGAAAACTGTGTTATAATTTAGCTTGAAATAATTGCTTATTTCCCCCCTCCTTGGCAAGATAATTTTAGAGGCTGAGAAAGCACAAAATAAATCTCCTTCTAGACTTGATTCCTTTGTCAAGACTTTAGAAGCAGACAGAGATTATTATAAGACTGAAGCTCAGAATTTGAGGAAAATGATCAGGAATAGATCTAAAAGTCCAAGACGCCCATCTCCATCTTCCCGGGTAGGTTTGGAGAAATTTTTTTCATCTTTTAGTTTGTTTCTCAAGTACTGAATTTTATTTTTTGATTTATCTTATTTGGAAATAATTAATTTGATTCTGTATAAAATGTAATATCAGGGAGGTTGGGAGACAGGTCTCTTTGATGGTACAGTGAAAAACAAGGTTAGCTCTTTAGTCCCAGTACAAGTTGTGGTTATTACAATTTGAGATAAAGTTGTGAAAGAGGTAATTTTGTCGTTGTTCATTATTTCCTTTCATTCTGTAGTCATGTTCACCTAAGTAGAGAATGCGCACTGCCACCCAAAGTAGTGCTTCATCAGTAGTGTGAGTGAAAGCGTACACTAGTGTTCCGTCAGTACTGTGATTAGAAGCGTACACTAGTGTTTCGTTAGTGTAAGTGAAAGCGTACAGTAGTGTTTCCTTAGTGTGAGTGAAAGCGTATACTAGTGTTTCATCATTAGTGTAAGTGAAAGTGTACAGTAGTATTCCATCAGTAGTGTGAGTGAAAGCGTACAGTAGTGTTTCCTTAGTGTGAGTGAAAGAATACAGTAGTGTCCTGTCAGTGTGAGTGAAAGTGTACAGTAGTATTTCCTTAGTGTGATTGAAAGCATACAGTAGTATTTTGTTAGTGTGAGTGAAAGCATACAGTAGTGTTTCGTTAGTATGAGTGAAAGCGTACAGTAGTGTTTCGTTAGTGTGAGTGATAGCGTACACTAATGTTTCGTTAGTGTGAGTGAAAGCGTACAGTAGTGTTCTATCAGTATGGGTGAAAGCGTTTTAGGTCAGGAATGTTAGTGCCCACCTGTTTATCAGCACTTGGGAGGCAGAGGCAGGAGGATCAAGAATTCAGGGCTAGCCCCGGCTTCATAGTGAGTTCAAGTCTAGCTTGGACCATTTGAGACCCTGTCTCAACAAAAGAAAAACTAAATATACAAGAAGAACTTCAGATATCTTAAATAATAATTCTAGGGTGCAAACTGTGATGTAGAGCTTTTGAAGTCAACAACCAGAGACCGTGAAGAACTGAAATGTATGCTGGAAAAATATGAACGTCATTTGGCAGAAATCCAGGGCAACGTCAAGGTGCTTACATCTGAGAGAGACAAGACCTTCATTCTTTATGAGCAGGTAAGCGTGTAAGCACACAGATTTGTAAGTAATGGCAGTCACTTCCAGAGGTTTGCAATTCTTCCTTAGGTCTTATGACCATAATTAAACATGCCAGCCAAATTAATCTGACATTTGGAAATTACATTTTTTTCCTTTTTTTTCATTGTGTTGCTGGGATCAAACCCAGGACCTTGTGCATTTTAGGCTACATCCTTAGCCCAGTGCTCAAGATACTCTTAGTGAAAGGTATTGTATTTCCAGTATAGTAAGTGCAAGCACACCATCTGCCATTCTTACATTTCATTAGAGATTGCACACATGCAGAAAACTTTGCTTTTGGGACAGGAAATGAGGACAGGGGTGCAGCTATGGCTCACTGATGGAGTGCGTGCGTGGGGCCTTGGTCCTTCACACATCACAAAACATTAAAACCAGAACAAAGCAATGACAAAACCATAAAGAGAAAGGAGAGTCTTGAAGGATGGGATGTAGTATGTTTACGGTAAAACCTTTAGGATTTGGTGGGGAGAAGGGTAAGAAATTCTATCAAATCATTTTGAGAACTGCCATAAAACTTGCTTGAATTTAGAGATAAAATAACTTTGTAGTTAACTATACTTTCTATTTAGAACTATATAGCTTTTATTAATAAAATCTTGAACCAAATAGAATTAAATCCTATATATCATAGTATAATTTCTTTGATAAATAACTACAATTTTAAGAAGAGCTATTGCTATCCAGGGCTCTAGAGTTACTACTTTAATAGGCTGTGTAGGTCATGACCCCGTATTTGTCACAGAATATGGGAGCATGAAGGTTTTGCAATAGTGAAATGTTTCTGAATATACAACCAAAATAACTCAAAGGCAAACACATTATAGAGTTGAGGCATAGACCTGTGTCGCGTTGTGTGGCTTTGTTGCAGCCTTGCTTCTTAACACACAGCGTGCACCCTTTGTTTTCTGCATACCATCATACCATGTAAGCCTGATGATGCTCCCTAAAACTGCAGCTCAGATTTGACATTTGTCTGTCCTGAGTTGAAGCACTTCTACTGTACACAGTTTCTACTAAAATGTAATGGTTTAATTGGAAAGCAAGTGCTTTCAATACTTTCCTACTGTCATTCCTTAGCATGCAGTACCAAATCAGTGTATTTTTAGATTGTATTACATTAGAATGATTTCAAAAACTTTTGTTTGAAGCTGTGTGGGGTGGCACAGGCCTTTAATTCCAACACTTGGGAGCCACAGGCACATGGGTCTGTGAATTTGAGGCTAGCCTGGTCTACATTAGAGTTCTAGGCCAGCCTAAACTACATAGTGAGACTCTGTCTCAAGAAATAAAATAAAAAGGAAGTAGAAATAGCTGTTTGGGTTGCTTTCTTAATTTTCATAGAAAATATTAGTTTCATCTTGAGATTAGGATAGAATTAACCATTTCTGAGAAAATATTAGTTTCATCTTGAGATTAGGATAGAATCAACCATTTCTGAGAAAATATTAGTTTCATCTTGAGATTAGGATAGAATTAACCATTTCTGAGGTGGCTCTAAACATAGTTCTCTCATGCTTGTACTACATGCATTTATGCAAAGTAGAATCCCATTGACAAGGATAACTCTGATAAACACTGGAGATGTTCTGTGCCCTAAAGTATGAAGGCTTAACTATTTATCTAGAAATAAACAAAGATATCCATCTCATTGCTATGCAAATTTTCTTCCATCTTTAATAAGTTATATGTATGCCAAAAATTATTTTGGACTACATTTCTTTCTGATTTTTTAATCAGGAAGTTTCTGATTGGTGTACTTATTTCACATACCTAGATACATGTAAAATTTTCTCAAGTGAAAAAACATTAGTGGGAAAAGTTCTCATACGCTAAGGGGTAGAATTAAAGCAGCCCCTGTTTCCATTAGTATATAGTGTAGTTGTGGAGAAAAGAATAGTGTTTTTTATTGGTTTAGTTTTTGTAACTATATTTTTGGTTGTGAACCTAGCCTTTAATGGCTAAGGTTTTGTAACTATAAGCTATCTACTTTAGAGTATATTGTAAGAAATAAAAAGTACACTTTTTTTTTTTTAAAGTTCTAGTGATCAAGGAAATTTTGCCAGAATATATGGCATTTGAGTCCTGAATTATGGTTGGGGCAAGGAAGAGTACCCTGCAGGAACAGGGTGAGACAAAGGAGGAGGGCGGGCAGTAGGACAGGGAGATGGACTAGGGCAGGCTGAATGTGAGGAGGAGGAGGGGCGGTGAAGGCTTGGAAGGGAGATGGACTAGGGCAGGAGTGTGCACCCTGTTTCATAAATGTCCTCATCGTGTCTTCATCTTGAAGGCCATGTGCGGTCTGTGGCAGCTACTCAGTTCTGTCACAGGATGACGCAGCCATTGACAATACATAATAGAGCCTGTTCCAATAAACTTCATGGACACTGACAGTTGAATTTTATATTATGTTTACCATTATGAAAAAATGGTTGTTTTGATTGTTTTCTCTGGGCATTTAAGAAATAGGAAAAATGTTCTTAGCTTATAGATCTATATAAGACAAGGAAGGAGGCTGGTTCTTACCCGTGAGAGCTATGTAGGCTGCCAACTTTTGACCTTTGATGATATCTTAGTAAGGATTTCTATTGCTGTGAAAAGACACCATGACCATGGCAACTCATATAAAGGAACATTTTTTTTTTAAAGAAACTTTTTATTGATTCTTTGTGCATTTCACATCATACATCCCAATCTCATTCATCTCCCCAACCCCTTGCTTCCTCCCTCTGATCTTGCAACTCCCCCCCCACCCCCCCCACCGGAAATACGAAATTTAAAAGTAAAACCAAAATATCCAAAACCAAACAAACAGAATCTCAGCGTGGAAGCTATAATGTGGCTCACTGAGCCCACCGAGTCACACAGTATATCCTGCCTTAAAGAGGTTTAATTCATTATCAAACATGGTGGTGTGGTGCTGGAGAAGGAGCTGAGAGCTCTGCATTTGAGCTACAGACAACAGGAAGTGAACTGTGTACCATACTGAGCACAGCTTGAGCAAAGGAGACCTCAAAGCCCACCCCCACAATGACACACTTCTTCCAACAAGACCACACCTACTCCAACAAAGCCACACCTCCTAATAGTGCCGCTCCCTATGGGGGCCGTTTTCTTTCTGACCACCACACATGGTTTGGTGGGCCTAACTAGGGCTTATACATTTGATTTTTAAGCAATGGACAATTTATTATTTATTGAAAGCAGGGAAATATAACCAATGTAGCCTTTTTTAAAAAATCCAATTGACCTGGTAGCAAATCTTATATAATCTTTCTATATTAGTATCAAATTTTCCCTTCAAGAAAATTAGAGGAGGAAGAACTATGGATTCTTTAGAAAAATGTTATCATGGTCCATGAATGAACAAAGGTGCTATTTGTAGAAATAAATACAGGCACAGATGCCAGATAAACTAAGGAAGATTTGATAAGGTTTAGTTTGGGGCAGGAGAGACAAATGGAAACATTTGAAATTTTGTCTCGAATGACAGAGAATTGTGGAAATCAATAGAAGAGAAACAAACCATTGATAGTTTGAGAGAAAGTTCTGAGTTTGGTTTGGGAAGGTGGAGTAAGGTGGTATATGTTTAGATTGTAACTGCCACCTAGTAGTATTCATTTAGAACTGGATAAGGGAGAGAGGCAGGTACTGAATATGCAGCGCTAGAAGTCACCTTCTTAGAGCCGAGCTTTGAGCCTTCAGCATGGATGAGAAAGTTCCACAATAGAGCAGAGATGTCAAGATGTAATCTTCAAGAGGCAGGGAAGAACCCTTGAAAGATAGAGACCAGGACACAAAGGGAGAAACGTCTTGGACCAGTGTGGATGTTGCCATAAAATTAAGGGGAACAGGAACTGAGCAAAGTTCATTACAGTTGGTAAGCTCCTCCTGCAGTGGTGGTGGCTTGAGGGATAGGGGCAGGTTGCCCTGGGGTGACATTGTGGATGTAATTGGCAATGGATAAAGATTGCCTTTAAAAACAGCCTGACAGAGGAAGAAAAACATGGCACGGTGGATGGGGGTAGGAGGACTAGGTGACATGTCATCCAGCTAAGGGAGAACTCTCCGTGATGAAGGTGATGGGTGCTTGCCGGGAACCAGAGTAGAAAGAGCCAGTGTCAGGGGCAGTACTCAGGAAAGTTAGGAATGTGGTGAAGTCTAAGCTGAACCTGGAGACCTGGAGACCTGGAGACCAGGTTAGAGTCAGGAAACTAAAGAGAGAAATGAAATCATCTGTAGCCTTGCAGCAGGTCAGAGGCCTCAGGACCGTTTAGTGTTCAGAGAGCACGTTGGGGTGTAAGTGGAACTTTCTGTCAGGGTAAAAGTAGCCAGGACAATAGTGTATATAGAGATAGAGCAAATATAGAGAAAGAAAGATTAGCACTGTGGACTTCTCATTAGACACACATTCCACCTCAGCCGTGCCAACTTCAGATTTATTTTTCAGAGTGTGTAAGTGGAATATGCCAAGTCTGTTTCTTAGCTACACACACACAGTACACAACAACACATATACATTTAAATTTGCTTGCACTTATTTGTGAACTCTTGAAAATAAAAATTCTACCATTTCCTTATTTTCTTGCTTGCGTATTTCAGGTTTAATTTTAACTGACTGGATATAAGATACTGCATGTGTAGTTCAAAGTTTTCTTTTTGTAAAAATTCTGTGTATTTTTGTCATAGGCACAGGAAGAAATTGCTCGACTTCGAAGAGAAATGATGAAAAGCTGTAAGTCTCCCAAATCAACTACAGCACATGCTATTCTTCGTCGGGTAGAGACAGAAAGAGATGTGGCCTTCACTGATTTACGAAGAATGACCACAGAGCGAGATAGTCTGAGGGAAAGGCTAAAGGTGTGCAGTTTTTTTGCCTGTCTTCGTCAGTTCAGTCCAAGTGCAGTGACACTGACCGTGCTTTGTTGTGTTTGTGTCTTAAACAGATTGCTCAAGAGACAGCGTTTAATGAGAAGGCTCACTTGGAGCAAAGGATAGAGGAGCTGGAGTGCACAGTTCATAACGTAAAACAAACCCTCTTTGGCTCTCCTTCCCATAGCCTCCCCTTTTCTCACTTTACTGTACTAGGTACCTTTTTATTTATTTTTCTAAGAGTGTGCTTATAGTCCTAAAATACTTACGCTGGTATGTATGAAGTGTCTGTGTTATTTTCATAACCCTGTTACCTTTTCACTTAATTCTTCCTCTCTAGAAACATGAATGCAGCTTTTTATTTTTGTTGTATTTGGTTGCAAAGCATTTTTGTTTTTATTGTTAGGATGTAGCCTCAGGATTTTTAGGAAATTAATTGACTATTTTGGGAGGGGGGGTACAAGGTCTCACTGTGTAGAACCCATGATTCTGCAGCTTCAGCCTCCCGAGTGTTAGCATTATAGTACCGCTACACTTGTTTAAAATTTCAGTTTTTTTCATTTCCCTGTTCTATTAAAGATAATCTCACCAAATATGAGTATATCAAGTGTGTTCCAGATACATGTTAGCATTGTTCCAGGTACATAAAGAGTTAAGGTCTGAATGTACAGATAAATTCATTTGAGGTATTTTGTTATAATAAGTAAAATACAGAGAGAAGAAAAAGAATTTTATTTTCATAATCCTATTCTATGTGTAATGTATTAATCTTGGGTAACATAAATATATATGTATAGTCAAATTGAACCAGATTGAGAAAGGTAGACTGATAATACTGAGATAGATAGGCTTTATAGAAAAACTCTATTGTTTTTATTCCTATTATATTTTATCTATATAAAACCTTCCACAGGCTGGGTGTTGGTGTGCACGCCTTTAGTCCCAGCACTTGGGAGGAAGAGGCAGGTGGATCTCTGTGAGTTTGAGGCCAGCCTGGTTTACAGAACTAATTCCAGGACAGGCTCCAAAGCAATACAGAGAAACCTTGTGTTGAAAAACCAAAATAATAATAATAATTAAAAAAAATGAATGAATGAATGAATAAATAATAAACCTTCCACAGTGTTCAGGTCTGCCCTAGTTGATTGTATCATGTGTAAATTCTGCATAAGCTGCAGTTTTTAGGAGTGTGTCTCTGCTGCTAAGACCAGTAAGACTACTTAATGATAGCAGTTAACTGTGCCATTCTACTTGTGTAGCTTGATGATGAGCGTATGGAACAAATGTCAAATATGACTTTGATGAAGGAAACCATAACCACTGTGGAAAAAGAAATGAAATCATTAGCAAGAAAGGCAATGGATACCGAGAGTGAACTTGGCAGACAGAAAGCTGAGAATAATTCTTTGAGGTAAAAATACATTGCTGTTAAACAACCAACAGTTTGGTATACTTAATTGCTCTGCTTTATAGTACATTTCATAATGAATATTTAATTATCTGTTATTTTCAGTTTATGAAAAGGCTCATAGTAGTCAGATGTAGAAACCTCAGCAACATGTAATGGTGTCTCCCAAAATCACTCAGCCAGGAAACACACTCAACACTCATCTTAATCTTATGTTTGCAACATGTGTCAAGTTTAATCAAGTAGCTTTTAGATAGCCGTCTGAGAACTGAGACATTTATCCTTAGTATTTATTGTTTAATTTATTTACTGTTATAACTTTAAATTCTGTTCTGAGGTTTGAACAATTTGAGGAAGCCCACACTTGAAAGCTTAGGGAAAGGATGGTTTCCAACACGGGAGGAACTTGATTAGCTCTTCCATTACACTGGGGTAGTGGCAGAGGCCACTGAGGCAGTGTGTAGGCAGGAAGACGCCTCTATATTTGAGTTCCTACATTAGTATTTGTTGATGTGAAACAAAGCTACTTAAGTTTCAGTAGAGTTGAAATTCTCTCTATCTGATACATGAAAATCGTTAGCTGGTGTGAATGCGAACATATCATCAAATCTATAGATAATCATTGGATCACATACGAGTCCCCAGAGTCTGCCCTTGATCTTCCCAGGACCAGTGGTGCAGAGGAGGGATCGTTTGCCAGGACTCCCTTCTTTTCCTTGGAAAACTTTTTCTTCCTTAGAAGACTACTGTAAGCTCACACAAGAATGGAAGTAATACCAGAGCAAGAAAACAGAAAAGAAAACTTGGGAGAATAAAAATAAGTAATAAAGGATTAAAATCACCTATGACTCCATGACCCATGGAAAAAGACTAGTGTGGGACTGCTTCCAGTCAGAGATCAGTCCACGTGTAGCATGGGAGTGTCCTTTGTAGCAGAGCTCAGCTTTTGGCCATTTGTATCTGGCCTTCAGTTTCAGCACATAGGGTTTCTGTTATTAGAAAACATTTTAGTGTTTTATAATACTCTAATGGAGAGATGGGTAGTAATCTGGGTATAGTGGTGTGTTTTGTTCCTTTGGAGCAGGGTCTTGTCGTGTGGCTAGCTTAGTACTGTCCTGCAGTGCAGTGTAATGTAGTGTAGGGCAATGCAGTGTAGTGTAATGTAGTGTAGGGCAGTGCAGTGTAATGTAGTGTAGGGCAGTGTAATATAGTGTAGTGTAATGTAGGGTAAGGCAGTGCAGTGCAGTGCAGTGCAGTGTAATACAGTGCAGTGTAATATAGTGTAGTATAGTGCAGTGCAGTGTAGTGTAGGGCAGTGTAATATAGTGTAGTGTAATATAGTGTAATGTAGTGTAGTGCAGGGCAGTGCAGTGTAATGTAGTGCAGTGTAATATAGTGCAGTGCAGTGCAGTGCAGTGTAGTGTAATGTAGTGCAGTGCAGTGTAATGTAGTGTAATGTAGTGTAGTGCAGGGCAGTGCAGTGCAGTGCAGTGTAGGGCAGTGTAATATAGTGCAGTGTAATGTAGTGTAATGTAGTGCAGTGCAGCACTGCAATGTGCTGGGCAGGGTTGCCCAGCAGTTTCAGGGATTTTTTTTGCTGTAGATTTATATGGAAACTTTTATTGAAGCATAGCTGAAACATATGCACTAAAATGTCAATATTTTATATATTGGTTGGAAAAACTGGACCTTTAAAGCCATCACCACAATCAAGATTCCGGCCTTATTCTGCACTCTTAAGTCTCTAATTTTTCACACAATTCTTAGTTGATTCCTAGTTGAGCATTGATTTTGTTTCAGACATACAGAGATTTGGATTTTCTAAAATTTTAAACCAGGGAAACTGTGTATGTTGTTAATCAGGTCCATTTCCCTCAGTGTTGTTTTGAGGTTTGTTCTTCATGCATTATGTCGTATGTAATGTATGTATACTCTGGCTGCTGAGCTGAGCTCTGTTTTATGGCTATGCGTGTTGGCAGTTGCTTTGGGGTTATGATAAACAAAGCCACTAAGCTCTTCCCTATCCGAGTTTGTGTGGACATACATTTTTATTCCTCTGATCAGCAGAGAAATAATGCTGAGTTATGTGATACAATTTCCTTTTCGGTGTGGCTGAGGTACTGTGTATTTACTGTAGCAGTGGTGAGTTTTTCAGTAGTTACATTTCCTCACTGATATTTGATATGCAGTTCATGTATAGCACAGCTATTTATCTTTGTTGTATACTTGCATTTAAATTTTTTACAATGGCTTTTTAAGCATTATTGTAGAATAACTGTTGACTGAAATTGTATGAAAAGAATACAGTATAATGTTTTGATACATGTGCATGGTGGAATGATACTTTGGTGAGCTAGCTGATGTATTCACTATGTCTCGGTCCTGTTTATGCAGGTAAGTACTTACTGTTGGCATGTTGGCAATGCTCTAGCTCTCTGTTCCTTTCCTGTTGTCTTTGTGTCTTTGTGTATGGAGGCCTCAATTCCATTACCTTTTGTGCATTACACTTGGCTCTTTGTGGTTATCATGAGTTTCACTGTTACATTTTATATGTACGGCAGCCTTTTAAACTGGTAACATTATCATTCACATGGAAGTGCAGATACCTGTTGGAGATAAATATTCTTCAGTGCATATGCACATTAGTGGCTTGGCTAGATCATTTTGGTAGCTGTATCTCTCAGTGTTTGAAGTACTTTGAAGAACACTCAGCCATAAGTGGAATGTCTCCAACAAATCCCTCCCCTCAGAGCTCAGGGATCTCCCCAGAAGCAGCGGAAAGAATGTAAGAGCCAGAGGGGATGGAGGACACCAAGAAAACAAGGCCTCTAAATCAGCAAGAGCAAAGCTCCTGTGAACTCACAGAGGCTGGAGCTGCTAGCACAGGGCCTGCGCGGGCCTGCACAGGCCCTGTGTGTGCTGTGCTTCCATAGTGATTTTATGAGATCCCCGAGAGTGAGAGTGAGTGGCCTTCCCTCGGGCTCTTTCCCTTCTGTTGTTTGTCTTGTCCAACTTTGATGTGATAGTTGTTGTTTTATCTTGTAATATTTTTAACATCTCTGAGAAGCCTGTTCTTTTCTAATGAGAGACAGGAAGAGAGTGGATCTGGATGGGAGGGAGGTGGGGAAGGGCAGAGGAGGAGTTTAAAAACAAGAAAAACACAAAACAAATACCATAAATGAAATAAAATGGTAGCTATTTCATAGGAGCAAAATGGTTGTGCAGTTTTGATCTGTAAAGCCCATATCTAGATGTTTATGTTTTCCCCAGAAGTCAGGCATCTTTAAGTGTCACCCTGCAGAGTGAATATTAGCTCTCTTGAGGGTTCTATAGGTCTCTAGTCCTTCGTGCCTCCTCTTTTTCTTCTCACAGTATTTCTGAATGTCATATCTTTGAGTTCACAGAAAATTCCTTCTTGTCACATTGGTTGTTAGTGCTATTTCCTTTTTAATCTTGATTATTTTTATTTTAAGCCCGGAATTTCTGTTGGGCTCCTGTTAATAATTTTAACAATTTTAATGTATCTGTTGAATATTTTATTTGTACATTGTTTTCCTGATTTCATTAACATGTCTATTTATGTTCTCTTGATTAACTGTCATAATAATTTACTTTAAATTTTTGGTCATACACCTTCTAGATTTATATTTTTTAGGGATTGTGTCAGGTTTCTGTGTTTTTTGTTGTTGTTGTTTTTTTGTTTGTTTGGTTGGTTTTGTTTGGTTCTTGCTTTGTGTTGATGGCCACATATCTGCTAGCCGAGTTTCAGTAGGGAAGCATTGTCATACAGTGGTGGGTACAGCACCCAGTTCACACTCTGGTGAAGGTGTAGTCTCATGCAGCATCTCAGTTGGGTTAGTGTCAGCACAGCCATGGCTGTGAATGTCTGAGTGATGGAGAGGGCATTGCAGTTCTTGTTGTTGTTTGCTCTCTCTCCAAGGAGAGAGGCATCTGTCTCGACACTAGTGTAGTATGCAGCACTCATGGGGTAGCCCCAGAGCCCAGGTCTGGAGCATCAGTCACTGTGCTTGGCTGCTTTTGCTGCAGGGATGGAATCACAAATATGTTTGCTGCATTAATGGTAGTGAACTTTGAGTGGTGCCTGGAGGACTTGGTGTAGAAGTCAGACGTATGTTGGAATGACAGTGACTCTAGAGCTTAGGGCATCAGCCTCTCAGTTTGATGATATACAAGATATCTGGGACTGGGGTTTGTGGGGCAGTGGCAGAGCTACAGCGTGTAGTGTAGGCATATGCATAACTCATGAATAGTGTAGGCATATGCGTAACTCATGATGACAGGCCAGGGGTAGCACGAATAGTAAAACCCAGAGACCGATACTGGAGTTCAGGCTGAAGGTCAGATAAGCAAAGCAGCCAGCCACTAGCTCCTACATCTACCTCAGACCCAAGTGGGTGACCTGTGTGCACTTTTCCTCCGAGTGCAGTCCAGACCACTGTTCTCTCCTCAGGGTGGCTGTGGCTCTGCAGCTGCTTTTTATGCCTCTCAAACCCTGAGATGAAAGGCGTGCGATCCCAAGTGCCGAGATCATCTTTGTGTGAGCTGTTTCTCTTTAGGACTGGATCAGTTTCATGTGGCTCCGTGTGGCCTTGAACTCAGAGATCTATCTGCTTGCCTCTTGAGTGCTGGGATTAAAGGTGTGTGCCACCACTGCCTGCCTCTGTGGCTAGCTAGTATGGCTGCTGGAATTAAAGGTGTATTTTACCAGTGCCTGGCTCTTTGGCTTGTGGCTAGCTTTGCCTTCTGTACCCTCAGGCACGCTTTAATAAATCAAATAACGTCTCACCACACCCAGGGCAATGTCAGTTTGAGGAAGTGATGTTTCTAGTGACTGGGCTGTAAACTTGCCCAGATCACTTACGGCTCTGTGCTTTGGAGGAGTCACCACAGTCCAAGAACAGTAGGGGGTAAGGCTGAAGCAGCCTCTCCCCATTTAGCTGGCCTATGGTAGGGTTGATGGTGGCTACCTTCATGGTGAAAGT